CCCCCCCCCCCCCCACCTTTTTTGGTTTAGTGAAAGAGAAACTCCTTCGTTAATGGGTTTCGATTTTGATTAAATTAATTGTAGTATATTGTGTAGGTGTGATAATAATATAGTTTAATATTTTAGATAGGTTTGTTCTGTATAGAATTTCTTGGTGTTAGATCTATGGATTTTGGCTCGAGCAGATTAATTTTGCAATTTTTACTAAACGGTTTATTTAATGAAAGTTGACAGTGATTCATGGGTTTTGCAGTAAGCTGATGATACAACTCCAATTACTAAAAGCCCTGATTTTTCTGAGAATTTTTAAAGATTTAGAGAAACAGAAAGTCGTTCATAGCCGTGTTTTGGTTTTGCTTGACTTTATTGAAATTTATTGTGGATGTGATAATATTCTGCTTTTGGTGTTTTAGATAGGTTTGTTCGGTAGAAAATTTCATACTGTTTAGATCTAAGGCTTTTTGAGCTGATCAACTATGCAATTTGTGTTCAGTATTTGTTGAGTTATGGAAGTTGGTAGTGTTTCATGGGTTTGCAGGAGGCTGAACTCTGAAGGTACAATTTTAATGGCTAGAGCCTAGTTCTTTTGAGGTTTTTTTTTATGATTTAGTAAGACGAGAAATCATTCGAGTCTCGGTTTAGCTTGATTTTGTTGAAATTTATTGTGTATGTGTGAATCATGATAATATTCTGCTTTGGGTGTTTTAGATACACTTGTTCTATAGAAAAATTCACGGTGCTAGATCTAAGACTTTTTGTTTGGGCTGATTAATTTTGCAATTTGTGCTCAATATTTGTTGAATTATGAAAGTTGGTAGTATTTCATGGAATTTCAGTTGACTGAAGGTACAACTTCAATGAGTAAAAGCCATAATCTTTCTGAGAATTTTTTATGACTTAGTGAACCAAAAATGGATTCATTACTGGGTTTCAGTTTTGCTTTGCTTTATTGAAACATATTGTGCATGGTTGATTATATTTTGCTTTTGGTGTTTTAGATAGGTTTGAAAGATTTAGTAATGATGTATATAGGATACTTGGTTAATGTGGTGTTGTACAGTTTAGGGTTTTTTGGGTGAAATAAAATAGATTATTCTGTAAAGCAATGTATGGTGTTAGGTCCTATGTTTTCAAAATTTTGCTGGACCAGCTAGCTTTTACCAGGAACCAGTCCCGAAACTGGTTTGCTTTACTTACAAACTGTAATAATCGGATAAAAAGTCAGTTCAACTGCAAATCCAGCTAGCAGTTTCAACGGTTTTCGAGTTTGTGCCACAGAGCCAGCGAAGGACATTAAAGTCCCAATAAGACTTTTTTGGTAGCGTAGAAATGCAATCAATGAAAAAGTGACCTTTTTTTGTAAGAGCAAATGCTATCTCTTCCTTTTTGAAAATAAAAAAATAAAAAATTTAAATAGTATTGGCTTAAACAGTGAAAGGTCCAGAATCTTGTTGCTGGCTATTTCAATTTGAAATCCATTATTTGACATTATGTTAGTCCACTGCTCCTTTTATAAGCCTTTTCTAAATGCTTTTGCTTCCAGATTTCAATGTGTGATCCCATTCTTTACACATTTCGTTGTTTAAACTTTAAGATTCCATATATGCTGATATGATTTAAAAAAACTAAAGCCCATAATAAATTATTTGTTTTCTGAATTTAATCTCTATTCTAGTTTCAAGTTACTCTATTTTTAATAATTTAATTTATTTCTCCATTTATTGAAGCTTATGAAGAAAAGTAAATGTAGATAGGTTTAATGATTTTTTTGCTTATAGATTAATTAATCTGAAAATTTCACATATTTTTGTCAAATATTTGTAGCATGTAAATATATATAATTTCTTTTACAGTTTGCTCGACCCCGGTTCAACTGGGAGGACCTTTCGACCTTGTCAATGCCCTGTTCATTTTTGAAAACATTGGACTTAGATCTAATTTTTTTGTTTGAGCTGATAAATTTTGCAGATTTTGCTCAATACTATGATTGTTAAATTATGAAAGAGAGCAGAGTTTCATGGGTTTGCAGTAGGGAGGAAAATGGTGTTGAATTGTTTGCTCTATGTTGGGTAGCTACACTCTATGCTCGTTGATCAATGATCTATCTATCAATAAAACTTTTAATGTGATTTTGAGTATCGTATTCCTTTTTACTAGCTTGCTGAAGATTTTGAACATGGAATTTGAGAAGTGTTAAACAATAAGAACACGTGTTATTTTTCTTGTTGCTCACCATTATAATTAAGAATTGAGAAAAGGAGGAAAATATGAAGTCTTGTGTAGAGATATGGAAGAATGTTGCCGATGTTCTTTTCTCATTTTAGAAAATGGAATATAAGGTAAATCTGTTCATTGTCTCATTTTTATTTATTTATTTATCTTTTTTCTCTTTTTCACCAAGTGCTACATCAGAACGTAGATTGATGTAGAATCAATCAGGAAGAAAAAAAGAAAGAGAAGAGAGGGGAAACTGGGGAGAAAAGAGAGACGTGATCACCAAAATATCTTTCATTCATCAAACTAAACTTTCAATCTTAATTACAATAATATAAATAACAAAATAATAAACTTGGGTTTGGGTCAAACCCATATACAAGCCCAATGAGACATAAAGCCTAAAATAAATAAATAGAAGATAAAATGGCCCAACAACTGGCCCGATGAGGATGATCCCAATGACTGGCCCGATGAGGATGATGTCAGCATCAACTCTCCCGGGGTGGGAGAAAAACTTGAACCCCGTCGAGGAGGTAGATCACAAAAGGCTGCTGTTAATGTCCTAGCCACAAACTGAGCGGTTGAGCAAACTTCTTTCGACGTCTATAGACACGCGAGGGTGGTGGTTCGGGTAAGGGAAGATCTTGTTGACTCTTATAATGCTCCAACAATTCAGGATCAAGCTGTTGAAGTGTCTCTTTGGAGATTCAAGTACAATCAGAATCAGGACGGCCCTTCCAACGAATAAGAAAGCGCTGAATGTCTCCATCTTTGGTTAATATGGTCTGTGCATCTAGAATAGTATCAATTTTATCTTTATGTGCTGTAGCAGGTGGAATTGGGGCATGGATAGCATGTTCAGGATGAGGATCCAGAGATGGAGGTGTGAAAGGATCATTAGTGGGGTGAAATTGGCCTTTGTAAGCAACTAAGTCTTCAACATTAAAGGTAGGGTGGTAGTCAAAGTGTGACGGTAAGTCAATGACATAAGCATTTGGATCAACACGCTTTGAAATTTTAGAAGGACCAGCACTACGAGCTTGTAATTTGGAAGCAGGCCCAGATGGACATCGTTCTGGTCTAATTCGAATTATAACATAATCCCCAACATTAAATTCAACGTGGTGTTTGTGCAAATCAGCTCGAAATTTATATAATGCATTACTTGCTTCTAGTTGTTTATTGATCTCAATATGCAAGTCATGTAAATGTTGTACAAAAGACTCAGCTGACACAGACATACTGGCATGTGGAGACATGGAAATAAGGTCTAACAACTTCCTAGGCTTAAAATCATGAACAACTTCAAAAGGACTCATACCTATAGATCGATTCACTGAACTGTTAAATGCAAGTTGGGCAGTAGGAAGAATTAAGTTCCAATTCCTAAGATTTTCCTGGACTAGACACTTTAATAGATTATCAAGACTGCGGTTAACAACTTTAGCTTGACCGTCCGTTTGTGGGTGGTATGCACTAGAGAATTTCAGTTTAGTGCCAGCCATACTCCATAGGGTTCGCCAAAAATGGCTAGTGAAACGCACATCCCCATCCGAGACAATGGTCTTAGGGAGGCCGTACAGCTTGACGATCTCATGAAAGTATTACTTAGCAACCTTAGATGCATTAGAAGTTTTGTTATAGGGAATAAAGTGTGCCATCTTCGAGAAGCGATCTACGACAGTGAAAATAGAGTCGTGTTTCTTCGGAGTACGTGGCAACCCTAGCACAAAATCCATACTAACGTCTTGCCAAGGACAACTAGGGACGGGAAGAGGCGTGTAGAGGTATGTGTTTTTGCCTCTTTTGCTTAGAACGCTAACAAGTGTTACATGTGCCAACAATCTTGGCCACGTCTGTCTTTAAACTGGGCCAATAGAATTGATGTTCAATCTCCTCCACGGTCTTATCACGCCTAAAATGTCCAGCCAACCCGTTAGCGCGACTTTCCCACACTATAAAGTCTCGCAACGAAGTCCTCGGGATGCACAACTTATTGGATCTAAAAAGATAGCCTTCCTCCAAACGGAAACCATCAGTGGTCTAACTCCCCATTTTGCAAAGTAAGAAAAATGTCTCTGAAATCTGGACATGACTCGTACTCTTCCTTAAGCCTTTCAAACCCTATGACTTTAACACTCATGACGGACAACAAGAAGATGCGACTGCTTAAAGCGTCAGCAGCTTGATTTTCAACACCCTTTTTATGCTTTAAGATAAAAGAATAGGCCTACAAATATTCGATTCAGCGGCCATACCTAGAATTCAATCGCCTATGAGAATGAAGGAAACAAAGGGCCTCATGGTCTGAAAAGAGGACAAATTTGTGGGGTAATAAGTAATGGCGCCAATAACGCAAGGCTTGTACAATTGCGTACAACTCCTTATCATAAGTCGAGTACCGCTGCTTGGCATCATTTAGTTTCTCCCTAAAATAAGCAATAGGATGGCGTTCTTGACTCAAGACTCCACCTATTCTTACCCTCGACGCATCACATTCGACCTCAAAAACTTTGGAAAATTTTGGGATTCGCATGACAGGAGCTTCTGTCATTTGCTCTTTGATTAACTGAAAGGCTCTAGTCGCTTCCCGCTTCCAATGAAATTCTCCTCTCTTCATATACTGTGATAGGAGCCATGATCGTACTAAATTCCTTGATGAAACGACGATAAAATGTAGCTAAGCCATGAAAACTCCTAACATCACGTATGTTCTCGGGGTCTGGCCAATCAACAATTGCTCGAATCTTCGCAGGATCAGCAGATACTCCCATAGCGGAAACAATGAACCCGAGAAACACAACTCTATCCGTGAAGAAAGAACATTTGTTCACATTGGCATACAAGCTTGTTGCACGCAGTGTAGAGCAAATTTGCGTGAGATGATCTCGATGTTGTTCCCTTGTTTTGTTGTACACGAGAATGTCATCAAAGCATACGACAATGAATTTGCCCATGAAAGGTCGAAGTGCTTGTGTCATCACCCTCATAAAAGTACTTGGAGCATTGGTTAGTCCAAAAGGCATTACAACCACTCGTGTGGACCATCTTTCGTTTTAAAAGCAGTTTTTCACTCGTCTCCTGGGTAGTCCGAATCTGATGATATTCACTCTTCAAATTGATTTTGGAAAAGATTGTTTCGCCGGCCATCATATCTAGCATATCATTAAGTCGAGAGATGGGAAAACGATACTTGACAGTGATCTTATTGATAGCGCGACTATCAACGCACATCCTCCAAGAACCATTCTTCTTAGGTGTGAGAAGGGCGAGAACTGCACCAGGGCTTAAGCTTTCACGGATGAAGCCTTTGTGAAGAAGTTCACCCACTTGTCTCTGGAGCTCGACATGTTTAGCAGGATTTATTTTATAGTGAGGCAAATTTGGGAGAGACGAACCTTGAACCAGATCTATAGCATGTTGGATATCCCGTAAGGGAGGCAATAGATCAGGGAGATCGTCAGGAAATACATCCTTAAATTCTTGAAGGAGTGATTGGGCTTCAGTAGGGGTTGCTATTGGGGAATCGGACGAGACTTCCATAACAATCACAGTAAATACGATCGAGTTATTTACGATTGTCCATTCAAATTCTGTAGGGCTAATCACTTGTAATCCTTTCCTCTCGACAATTTTTTTGGCTTGGTGTAAGTCAACATATTTTGGTGGTAAAGGATTAAGGTGAATCTTCTTTCCATTAAATACAATGGAACATGAATTTGATCGCCCATGGATAGTTACATCCAGATCGAACAACCAAGGTCGACCAAGAATAATATGTTCGACATCCATAGGGATAACGTCACACCATATATGATCCTTATACTCGAGGAACTAGATAGACATCGGACAACGCTCTTTCATAGCTATAGAAGAAGTGTCAACCCAAGAGACTATACGATTGGGGGTGTGGGATTGATTTCAATCCAAGACGGGATACTGTGGTCACAGAGACCGCGTTAATACAACTCCCACTGTCAACAATAATCTTACAACCCTTATCGTTGATCTTGACGTAAGTATGAAAAATGGCAGGCAGCGCCAATCATCGACATCCTTAGGTTGGGTAAGGGTACAACGTATAACAGTCAACCGAGAGGTGTCGAGGGCCAGGGAAGCAAGACCTAGACCTACAAGAAGGGCACGAAGGCAACCTAAGAAGGTATCCTCATTATTATCCAAATCTTTAAACTCTTGAAAGTTAGGCTCATAGACTTGGTTTTGTAAAGTCTCATCAACGACATCCTTCCACTCGTCAATAATTTGGGCTCGTCTTGGACATCTATAGGAGATATGGCCGAAGCCCTTACAATTGAAGCATTGCAAACGAGAAGAAGTTCTTGAAGTTTCAGGAGCTTTACCTTTATTGTCTAAAGCAGGGAGTGCGTTAGACGGTGGAGGTCCTCGAAGAGATTTGGCAGGAGGAGGTGGTGCCGATGAGATGGACGGACGGTTATCACTACGCCTTCCATACGGAGTCTTAGTAATCGACTCATAATCTCGAACTAAGAATAAGCGTGATCGAGAGTAGTGACATCTCGAACTAAGAAATAAGCGCGATCGAGAGTGGTGACACCTCGCAGGACAAGCCCACGCCGAAGATCGTCTCTTAGGCCCTGTCTGAACCTACTTAAAGTCATAGCTTCATCCTCGACGATGTGGCATCGCATTCGGAGCTCATCAAATTGGGTAACATAGCAAGTCACTGGACGGTTTCCTTGTGTGAGGGTATTCCACTGGTCCAACAAGTTGCTCCTATAAGAGTGGGGTAAATATTTCTCTTGAAGGTGGCGCTTCATTTCCTCCCAACTTCCAACGGGCGGTGCATGATGTCTCTCAAGAAGGTCCTCAACGCTTTCCCAGAAGAGTTGGGCAGTACCAGTTAATTTCAAACTGGCAAATTGAACTCTTTGGTCCTCTGGGATTTCATACCATGAAAAGAAACGATCCATGTTTCTAATCCATTGTGTAAAAACTCTGGGATCTAAACAGCCATCGAAAGTAGGAGCGTCTAATTTGATGGTTCACCCTGGCGGCTAGTTCTCTACTCTCTTCACGAGTGGCAATCACCTCGGTTTGGACAGTTGCTGATTGAGCCTGTAGTTGAGCTAATTGTCGAGTAAGGGTATCAAATTGAGAAGGGTCCACAGTCACAGTATTGGAATTGAGTATGACAAAACGACCACTACACAAATGCATGCAATGTGACACTAGCTAAATGCAGTGAATGACGAGATCAACAGACAACTAGTTCAAGAAATGAAAATAACAACTTGAGCATTTAAGTTTTAACCTTTTTTATTTTTTTTATTATTATTATTATTTTTTTTTGTAAATAAAATTTTGGGGATTATGAAAATCCAAATATGTTAAGCGGGTACTATGATCTATGTGAAATAACAAAGCGAGGGTCAAACACTAGTCAACAACTTAAACACGTAAAATAAATATGGTAGAAGTGGATAAAATAAATATGGGAAAAGTGGAAATACAGCAAGTCAGAGAGTTAGCAGGTCTAAGAGTTTAATCACGTGAATTTTATGTAAAGATTGCAGCACAAAAGTTAATCGATGCAATTCAAGATAAACAACAATATAACTGAGGATAAATTAAAATAATGACTTTCCTTTCGTTCATTTGAAGAAGTTGCGTCCAATCAACTGGAATGAAAGAGGCACCTAAAAAATGATGTTAGAAAAATAACTTTTTTTTTTAATACTTTCTCTTTTATGTCCCTTTTTTTTTTTTACTAATCTATTACAATACTGTCCAGCCACGTGAAGTAACAAATGAGGCCCAAACCCAAAGTAAACGCCAGAGACCCAATTGAAAATAAATACCCAATTTCATACCAAATCTTAAACTATGACGATGGTGGTGTGGGATGGGGCTATTGGAGTCGAGATGTTCGTGATTGTGGAGGTGGTCCGCGAAGAAGAACGTTGCTTGCTTGGGTCGCTGGATTAGGAGCAGCCGGCAGGTAGAGGATTGGATGTTGAAGTCGGTAATTGACGGGAGTCGCCTGCGTCTGAGGTAACGTTGACTTTTTGGGGAGCTATGGTTGGGCGTCGCGGTTGGGTGGGTTGTTGGTGCAAGATGAAGAAACGAGCGGCAGCGAGTTGGGTATTGCGTTTGCGGTGTTGTCGGCAATAGAAGGATAGGCTGATTTAAGTGATGTTGATGAGGAGTGAGGTGGAGGCAATGTGGGCACTTACTGATGCATATTAGAAGGTAACCCTGTACAGAATTTTGGCTTAAATTTGTAGCTCGGTATTTTGGATTTTGGTGTTTTCGGAGATGGCTGATAGTGAATTATTGGAGGGTAATGAGCCTTTTGGGTGGTGGTTGCGTGGTGGGTTGTTATGGTTCTAATGATCGTGGGCAGATATTTTTGTGAGTGGATGTTGTGGTGGTTTTATGTTGCTGGAATGGTGTATTGGGATCTGACAGTTATTGTGAGGTTACTGGCAGTTACTATCATTGGGCTTGAGGTGTGGATAGTGGGTTGTAATGGAAGATGTTGGTGCAATCGGAGATTTGAAGCAGTTGTCTGAAAATCATTTTGTATCACAATTTCAGACCTCTCCCAAATATGAAATTGAAGGAAAACAGGTTTTGAGTGAGATTATACGACTGCAGATGGTGGTCAATTTGTGAAGATGACAGGATAAAATTTCGGGACGAGCTTTAAGTTAATGAACAGCTTATTACCTCACAAAACTGATGGTAGGAGGTTGATGTAGTTAACCAGTACCTAGGTTTGACTCTGATACCAAAAATTGATGTAGAATCAATCAGGAAGAAAAAGAAGAAGGAGAAGAGAGGGGAAACTGGGGAGAGAAGAGAAACATGATCACCAAAATATCTTTCATTCATCAAACTAAACTTTCAATCCCAATTACAATAATATAAATAACAAAATAAAAAACTTGGGCTTGGACCAAACCCATATACAAGCCCAATGAGACATAAAGCCTAAAATAAATAAATAGAAGATAAAATGGCCCAACAACTGGCCCGATGAGGATGATGTCCGCATCATAGATGTTTTCTCTTTCATTTCTTGAGATTCCTATATTTTATGTATGTTAAGAAATGTTTGGTGCTTTGACAAATAATGACATCAGAATTTTTATTGTGCTTGAAGTCGTTAATCTGTGGTGCAATATGTTATAACTGCTGCAGGTTCTGCTGACAAAATTTAAGAGTCTACCTCCGTTATTTGAAGAAACACCAAATGCAATCCATGAATTGACACTAGCAAGTAAAATTTTGCCCCAAACTCGATCTGAGATCTTTTGTCTAATTCATCTTGATTTCCTTTGGAAATTTTGTTTTGTTTGACTATTAATATTTTATACTTCAACGTTGTTCAGGGGACATATATGAGCATGCAGTTGTTCTAAGTGTGAAAATTGAGGATCTGGATGCTTTCGAGAGGGACTTTTTCCAACTGAAACCTTACTACACAGATGCATGGTAAGTAGGTAACTATACATTTTATATTTTAATGCTCATGTCATCATGTTTTTACAGTTCATGACAGGATAGGGTGGCAAAAGAGGGGCTGAGTGATAAATTTTGCACATCATCTATTTTTCTCTTATTTGTTCCTTTTTCTAAAATAAATAAAATAAGAGGACTTCTTCCACAACCTCTATCAGGTGACAAAGTGAAGTTTGAGTTGATCCATACATCACGTATTTTTGAATATGAAATCAATAGTTCCTTTCTGTCTTTGGGGTTGAAATACAATAACCTCGAGCATCTCCCTTTAAGCCCCTGTCCCATTTTCTAAAGTTCATTTTTCCACGAACTACTTTTCAGCCACACATTCATGAGACCCCCAATTTTTCAACCACATTTTATCAACTTTTATCTAAATTTACTAAAAATCCGGTTTTTACCTAAATTAAACAGGGGCTAAGTATTGCTCAAGGAACCCTGAACATTTACCATAACTCAATTTAGATGCAAAAATAAATACTTGACTATTTCTAAATTTAGTCTCCATTTTTGTGCTGGGGATATGTGGATATTATTTTGGATAAAAATGTTTTATCTTAAATTCCTGTATAATGACATTTTATTAGAATGTCTTACATGCACGAACTAGGGGCCTAGTCGAGACAGCTTTTTCTTATGGACGCAGTCAAAAGAATCTTGGACATGTCTGACATGTTCGAAGACGTCTAACATGGAAACTCTACCTTCTTGGGAGTCTCCATGCTTCTTAGGTGAACACATTTTCCACAATGTTGGGGGTGTTGTAAGCCTTGATCTAATAAGTTGGTACATTACACAAACCTTTGTTTTTTTTACTGGTGATTCTAATTTTGTGGCATGTTTACATTTCTGTTTCATTGAATATGTTGTTTCGCTTTCCAAAATTTAATATAAGAAGACAGTTTCACTATGTCGGGTTTCTTATTTTCAAGACAGTGCTTATGGCCATTATTTCATTTGATTGTGCAGTGGCCGTCTTCCACAATCCCCTCAGGAGTATCTCATCTTGGGTCTTAACCTTCTGAGACTCCTTGTGCAGAACAGAATTGCTGAATTCCATACTGAGTTGGAATTACTTTCTGCCATCGCTCTGGAAAATCCTTGCATCAAGCATGCTGTTGAGTTGGAACAGTCCTTCATGGAAGGAGCTTATAACCGTGTTTTGAGTGCTAGAAAGACGTTACCTCATGAAACCTATGATTATTTTATGGATTTGCTGGCAAAGACTGTCAGGTATGTTTTTCATAACCATTATAGTGATTTCATTTGCTACTTTGTTTTCTTCTTGGTAGTTGGAGATGATTTAGAGCTAATAATTCATTTCTTATTAAAAACAATGGGAAGAAGTGGCATCTCTAGATATTTATGTACCACATCATTTCCATCAACCTACTTGGATCAGTTTCATGCACATTATCATGAACTTCGGAGTTACTTTACTGTTGCTTTAATTTATTTATTATTATTATTTTTTTTATGCTACATAAGATGGTCCTCAATTTGGGTTTGCTTAACCATAAATTCCCCTTGTATTTTGTGCTTGAAAGTTTGTTTTGCCATTGGTAGGGACGAGATAGCTGGATGCAATGAGAAGGCATATGACAGCCTTTCTGTAAATGATGCGCAGCAAATTCTGCTGTTTTCTTCAGATCAAGAACTAGTTGAATACATTAAGGTGGTAAGTGCCTTACAACACATTGCTCCCTACACAATCCCAACCGACACCTTACCATGCTTCAAAATCGTGCCCAAAACTCTCCCACATATTTTACTATGTTAAACTCTATGTATTCCTCTATTTGTAGAGTACATTGAATATACATAAATGGCTATAATAGAGATAATGGGGTCAAACAAGGTTCCAAATTCGTTATGAAATTGGAGCACTAATTTCTTATTTGGTAATGTAGATGATATACCACAGGACAACAATAAAAATGAGAACGAAATTAAAATGTTGTCTATTATAATGTTAAAATGTGTAGTGCGATGAGCATTTACCATTTGCAATAAGCAGGAGCATCCTGAGTGGGAGATCAAGAATGGGTTTGTATATTTCAAACAAGCCAGAGAATCCGAGCCTTGCAAGGAAATTCCTTCTTTGCAACTCATCAATCAAACACTCAGTTATGCAAGGGAACTGGAGCGCATTGTGTGAGGAATGTGGTTTCCATTTGCTATGACTTCAGTTTTTCGTGGTTAATCTGTTGTTTCCGCTTTGGAATATTTCTTAATTAAAGTACAAAATCCAGAACGATGAAATGGTAAAACGTTGTTGGATTATTGTTATTATTTTTGTATTTTGTCCAACGGAATCCATTTTCCTTATTTATTGTTGTATTCCAATTGAAGGCATATGGACTGATTTATGGGCAGCAGATCAGTCCTCTATATTTCTAATATTTTTCCTTGGTAACATGGACGATGCAACCCATGATATTGTTAAGAATAAAAAATCTAATTAATTATACCGCTTAGATTCAAACACCGACCCCTTCAAACAAACATACTATACTCAAAATCTTCAAAATGTATGTAATATTTTACAGCAATTCCCCTCGTACGGAGGAATTGTTGCTAGAATTTCTCCATGTATTGCTGTGACAGCATCTGTTTGGTCTCCTTTTTGTCATTGTCCAACAATAAGCCGTCAAGTGTGTTCTGTAGCAATTTTGGCAACAGTTTTATTTTTGGAAAATGCTCAAGGTACATCGAGGTGTCCAACATGGTATCCAAAATGGACACTTGGCACCTCAGTATTGGCTGAGGTGCTGGTGGGCCCCAACGTGGCAGGCACCTCGGCATTGGCCGAGGTGCCGTGTGTCCATTTTGGACACTATGATGGATGTCCCAATGTACCCCAAGCATAACCCATTATTTTTTTGGTACACAACAGAAATGAAAGTTTAATTTTAAACTGTACATACAGGTCGGAAGATAAATTTGCATGCCATGTTGAAGCCTTGGCCATGATAAGGCACAACTGGGCACCGGCCAAGAAAAATTTGCAATGAAGATTTAAAGCGATGCCTGGTTTGCGATTTTCAAGTTGTTTCAATTTTGTAAATTATTTAAAACTTGTTTCATATGATATTTTTGAAAATTCATTTTCCAAAACAGGGTTAAACTTGTATAAAATTCAAAACGTATTTTTGACGTAATGAAACTTTTCGATGAAAACTGAAGATGCAAGAACGTATAGACCTTGTTTGAGCCTCATTAATTTGAAGAAATATATTATGGAATAGGGGAGAAGTGTGATTAAAAAAGAAGGATAAGCTTTTCATTTGTGTATAATATTATTTTAATGAATAATTCAAGGTTAAAAATGAGTACGGTAGAAAAAATAATAAAAAAGAATATAAAGTAAAGGATGACAAACGAGGGCTTAAAATATGAAAATAAACATTTAAATTAGTAAAATTCTAGAAAGTGTAAATACTAAAATAAATTTGTTTAAAAAATAAATATAAATTTTGAAAGACTAAGAAAATCGAAGAAGTAAAAATTATAAATAGTAAAAAAAATTAAATTATAGAAAGCTCCAGAAAATAAAAATAATTCAATCTCAGTCCAAATAAAATTTTATTTTATTTTACTGAATAATCAAATTTCATGAAATAAAATATTATATAACATTTCCTCAAAATTTGAAATCAAGGTATTTAAATATTACTTGATAATATATATATACATCAAATTATTTTATTTTACTGAATAATCAAATTTCACGAAATAAAATATTATAAAATATTTCCTCAAAATTTGAAATCAAGAGTGTTTTCCAATAATCTATTTTGAGAAATTTTTCAGAATGACAAACCAAACGAGTTTTCAACAATCTTAAAACATTTCAACATAGAAAATTGAAAACGACCTCAAAACTAAAAACTGAAACTTAAACCAAACAAACCATAAGTTTTCACGGTTTTTGAATTGATGTTGCAAATGTAAACTACAAGTCACGAATAAATCCCAGCAAAAGATAGATAGTCTGCATATGATATATCAAGGATTACCCATATTCTGTAGAAGATGACATTAAAATGCTGAATCCCAGTGCATAACATATTAAAACCAGTTGAAGAACCGAAAGGATGAGGCCTGAATAAGATGACTCAGAAGACTGGAAACTGGATTGCAATATAGTCAAAAGGTAAAAGAAGTTGACATGACATGTTTGTGATTGAAACTATCGCTTCTTTCTACCACCCTTCCCGGATTTAGAAGGGCCGGCTGTTGAGGTGGAGGCAGGCTCTTGTTTCTTTGTCCGACCAGGGTGTCTTGGGACCAACTCTGCTACATGAAGCATTAGCTGTTTTCCTGTAATATTATCCCAAAATTTTAAACAAAAAAAGACACGGAACAATTGTCATCAAGAACATCATAAAATTAGTGATTAATCAGAAATCAATTAATGGTATGCATATCTTGTCAATTTGGATGCAGCAGAAGCATATGCACGTGTGAGTTTTTCTATCAAGCTCCACAAATAACTCCATTTGCTACAGAAGTATAATGCTACGGAACAAGAGCCAGGGCAACATTTTCTCATCCCTCCTCTAATATAGTCTTACATACAATTATAATACTCCCCCACCAGAAAAAAGATGAAGTCCAATGTAAAACAACGAAATTCTTATATATTTAACAGCAGTTGTGCACGGGAGTGCAAAACTGTGTTTCTAAGCACAACTGAAGTAATCTACAATTCTTTTGCATGTTGCCCTGCATTTTGTTAATGAATCAGATTCTGGGAAATGAATGTACAAATATCGAAGTTTCTCTTTGATATAAAACAGATGATGAAAGACACTTGCCAAGCAATGATGGAAAATCTCAAATTAATTTGGAAATTTTTTTATTTCAATAGGCAGAACAGAATTATGAAAACTAAATTGACTTGATCAGTTTCAGTCTCATATGCCCGCTACAGATAGAGCAACTGGTAAAATAAAAGTTAGAGCAACTGGTAAAATAAAAGTTTTGTTCGTACTGACTGAATGTGAAATTAAGATGCATGTTCTCATTATTTAGCGCTTGTCTAGGGAAAGGTTTGAGCTATTCTTTACCTCAAAAGGTAGAGAAAAAAGAATGATAAATAGCCGCATCTAACATCTCATCAGCATGTCAAAATCTTGACAGATATCTTAATCAAAAAGACAAATCCTTGCCATCATTTTTTCCTCTGACTTCTAAATAAAGCTAAAGTTCAAATTTAACACACAACCATCAGTTTAAGGTAAATTAAAAACAAAGACTATTGTATGTGGGAAATTTATATAGAATGTAAAATTTTCATGTTATTAGAACACTAATACAAAACGTAATTATTTAACCTTGTCTTATGGAAACGAGGTAATGGTCATTTATAATTTAGTAATTACGTGCAGCTGGAAGAATGTTATTTACATTTCATCTTGCCAACTCCACATATATCCATGTTGAAATCGTTTTTCCTCAGATTTAAGTTTGGATTATAATTATTCATGTTGGAGAAAACAGACCCACAAACTTAGATGGAGAATGGAACTGCCACTGTCAAACAGTGAACATAATTACAGACCTCTGTTGCTGTAATGTAGTGTTAGAGTGTTTACCCATCAACCATGATGTTGAAATATTGGCAGGAGTGAACCACAACAAAGTAAATACAAGAAATGATTTATTTACTTCCAATCAAAATTAAGGACTAGTTAATACTAGATATTTCAATACGTGTAGCACTAAATTGAACAAAGTGTATAGAAAAAGATTCTATCTTACTAGACTTCAAAAATATTGAAGCTCCAGCATAGATAGTCATTGATGATGATTGAATGAATAACTGCACCCGAAACATCGAAAATAGCTAGCTACAACTATCGTTCCTAAAAAATTATCAACTTCTTAACTGAATTTTGTATAATTATTCATGTTGGAGAAAACAGACCCACAAACTTAGATGGAGAATGGAACATAATTAACCACTTAACAATGTTGAAAATATAATTCTTTGAAGTGAAAAAGAATTCACGCATGCTAGACCTCAATAAATGGTGGTCCAAAGCAGTCCTGTTCTTTCAATAAACTGAAAGAATAGCACTTGAGAATTTTTTCTTATTTACACAATCTATATCATCAAATTAGAAGCTAAGCGATAGGATTAGCTCATCATTTGGAACATCGTCTGCATAACGAAGTCAGTCGGACAATGTATGTTCATGAATAATGCGAGAGAGAGAGAGCACTAATCTCACATTCAAAAGGTCATAATTTTACAGCTAGAGTTGCAAATAAATAAACAAACAAAAAAGAAACCCGAGGCAAAATGAGAAAAAACAACAGAATTTGTACTCACTAGAAGAAATGGTTGGATTGTAGAGACTCCCATCTTCTCTTTTCAACTGAACCCTCACTCTTCCTCTTTGCATAAAATCCCTAGGATATGCCTTCTCACTCTATAATACAACCAAGTGACACAAACACATCAAAATTCATACAAAAATACAAAATATGCAAAAGACTGAAAGTAATCGTTGTATAAGAAGATCACACATACCCATCAAAATTCATACATACATACATACATACATGTATGTATATATATGTGTGTGTATATATACGCATAAATATTAAAGAAATTATTATATAACAGAACTCGACAAACCCATTAGAATTCATTTATAAACAACCCAAAAAATATGTGCATATAACTAAAATTCTAACAAGAGAACTGCATAAATCATAGATTTTATACCTCAATAGCGCATGGGAGTTTCAGATGGCTGCAGCAATCATATATCTCAGCATAAGTAGGGTTTTCACATGCTTTATTGATGTTGATCCGCCTACCCTCCGCAATTGTTTTCTTCGAATTAATATAAATTGGGTAAAACACTACCCATTTCTTGATATTCTGTATATCGCCATCCATATTTCCTGTTTATCAAATCAACTATTTTTTAAACAAATCCAATTATTTCGGACAAAAAGGCACATGATTCATCAAGAAAATTAGCCATAACAGAAAAATATATAAAATAAAATAAAAAAGATACAAATATATGTGATAAGAGAGATCAGATTACAAATATCTTCAGGAATTTCTTCTGTAACGAGAGAAAAATGCAAGTAGATGTAGAAAATCGAATGATTACAGATGAAAATGGATACTGGGTCGAATAAACGATGATCAATAGGCAAAATCCAGGTCAGTTGTCTGTAGTTAGTAGAGAAATTTGACGTAAATAGCACTAACTCAGATAATATAATGATTCATAGAACTTAAAACTCCTGTAAAAAATATATATATATTAGGACATGTTTCATTGCACGTACGAAAATTACATGGAAAAAATAGGGTCTAGGCAATTCAAAAATTATTTACTTGGAAATTATTAATTAATGTGCTTGATTGAGTTAATTTTTATTTTCCATCTTTTAGTGTTTCATAACCTTTATTTTCATTTAAAAGGTCAATTTTTCTTGCTTTTGTTGTTTGATGGTTATTTTTTTTATGGAAATTGTCACTTTTTCCATGGAAAATAATAAATCAATTTTTAGAATTATTGTTCAAACGGTACCTTCATAGTTAGATGATCATACCTTGCAAATAACTATTGCATGCACACTATCTATGATTTTTTAAAGTGTCAGGTCTCTTTCCAAATCCCAATTTCTACGAGGAGTCCTAGGAAAATGTCAAATCACGTCGCCTAGTATCATTATATATCACAATCGCTTACATGACCATAGTCCAAAACAAACTCAAATTTTGTCGTTGGCATCGCCATTAATTCCTTCTTGTAACCGTGTCACCCACTACCACATATTAAATAAAAATTCAATAAAATTAACATATAAATTATATATTATAATTATATAAGACACAAATACTAAATGTAGCCCTTTTTAAAGCATATTTGAGATCAGCTAAAATGATATAGATGTCGGTCAGCCATGTTCATACATATTATTAGCAATAATGCAAATATCTACTGGCATCACCGCCATTTGTAGACAATATTTCCGTCTAATCATATTCAGAAATTGCCTGAAATGCACATGAAATTGAGATTGTAGTGTTTAATGTGAACATCGACAAGCATAAAGAAAAGAAACTATTCTGGGTTGCAGCCAAGACCCAAAGGGAAACTTGGAGTCTGCTACATTTGGAAATAACTATCACCAAATATTTCTGCAATCCAACAAAAACAGTTTACCGTGAAAAGAAAATTGCAAAATGGTGAAACATAGGTACTACAAAAGTGTTACTTTAGGTTGATACTTTGATGAGTGTCGGATCAAATTATTTATCCCGCTTTTCTCCTTCCAGGGGTTAAAAAGGAAAATGACTTTACTACATGTACATTAAGCTTTACATAATGGGTTACATGATGTCACATGTCATTTTATCATTTATCAATTTAAAACAAAGTCAACTTTTTTATCCAACCTTTTCCTTTCACATCAGGGATGGAGCCAAGAGCTTAAGTTACGGTGGGCAAAAATTTAGAAGTTTGATGTGCAAAATATCTACTTAATGCTTACATAGTTTGTTGCCGACAACGTGAACAGGTAATTAGATGAATTGTTGAGCTTGTTTTGATACTTTAAAAACAAACTAATCAAATGCCTCCTTAGTGCTTACATAGTTTGTTGCTGACAACGTGAACGGGTAATTAGATGAATTGTTAAGCTTGTTTCGATACTTTAAAAACAAACTAATCAAATGCCTAAAACAAATTAGAACAGAAAATTCATTAAAAACTAAAAGTTTGCAACAATTAAAAATCATAAATATAATGTATAAAACCATAAACATAACATAATTAAAAAATCATAACATAACCAAGTATAAAATAAGAAACCGATTTTACAAATTGTGGTGGGTTGGTTAATGGTTGGTGGGCTAATGGACTAAAATTAAAATATTTCAATATTTTTTTGGGACTTTTACTGAACATGGGCTTGGGCATTACTGGGCTACGGCCTAGTAGTGCCCTCCCTTCCCTCCGTTTCTGTTTCATGTCATTTTATGTAATCCCTTTTGTACCACTTTTATGTACAAATCCAAAAGAAAGAGATGAAAACTGCCCAGAGACACTACACCAGTCCTAAAATCTTGGTGGTATTCACATTCCAAGTGGCCTTATCGAACAGCATTGGCAGATCCAGGATTATAGGTCAGCTAGGGCGGTCATTAACCATAAACAATTCACCATCAATAGTCAACAATCGTAATAGTGAGGCCATTTATTAATATTTAATTAAATAATATAAAAAATTCTTTGATCCATATATAAATGCACTAAAATGTAAAAATCACAGATTAAACTATCACCAAGTTTCAATTTCCAATAGCAAATTCACCAATCTATCATTTTCATTTATCACACATCAAACTCATGGTCCACATGTCAAATATTCTCATATTCATAAATTTCCAAATATAATAAATCATAAACCTCATCAATCAGCAGCAAAATCCCCAAACTCCCAAATTCTTGAATTTTCAAATTCACAAAAATCAAAATCACTCCAGTCAATAAGCCCACAGACACAATCATAACTCATAAAACATAAATTATAACTCATATATGATAAATTAAAAAATGAACTAAACTCTATAAGAACAAAAAAGAGAGAGAGAGAGAGAGAGGCAGCAGACTCATTGACTTACAAGAGCGATGCAATCACGTAGAATATTGGCAGAAATCGGATAGACTAGAGTTGGGGCGACGACTCGTCGACGAACGACAGCAATCACACCGTCATAGGGCAGCGGCTGGGTGTGAGGGAGGGATTGAGAATAGAGAGAGAATTTGCACAATTGCACTGCCGATTTCGTTTGGAATTGCAAATGAAATTTGAGTGCGATTTTTTGTCTTTCGGATTCAATATACAATTATACATACGAAGTGATCCCATATTAGATTGGGCCAACCTTTTTATAAAAAAGGGCAACTTACAAAAATAACCCTAAAAATGAATGTCTTTTTAAAAATCATATGAAAAGTATTTTGAAAATAAAAAATACTTTGTAAATTTAACTGTCACATTTTTTTTATTTAAAGTTACATATAATGTCACTTTCTAAAATTAAATGTCACTTTTTTTTTTATTAAAAAGTGAATAAAAAAGTAATATACTTCCATTAAAAATTGATGTTTCTCATTCAAAAAAAGTGAAGAACACTAAAAAAAAAAAAGTGACAGAATTTTAAAAATAAAGTAGAAAATACTGAGAAGTGACAAAAAAGTGACAATGCCACCTTTTTATTAAGAAGTGACAGTTTACCCACTAAATATTAAACATCACTTTTTAAAGTTGGGACACTTTTTATTGTATGTCACTTTCATTAAAAAGTGATGTTTGTCACTTAAAAAAGTAACAGGTAATTAAAAAAGTGGCAGAAAATTTATAAAAAAAAAAAAAACCGAAAAACATAAAAAAGTGGCAAATACTCAAAGAAGTAATAAAAATTTAAAAAAGTGACAATATATAATTGAAAATGAGTTTTGAAAAAATGAATTTTTGAAAAAATATAACCAAACATAGGCATAGCATAATTTCATCTTAAAAACACAACACTCTTTAAGTTGAAAGTGATAAAAATTCAAAGAAGTGGCAAAAATTTTTAAAAAGTAACAAACAACTATCAAAACTTATAAAACAACAATCAGGGTCCAGCTTCCAACATATCAATACATAGCTCATAGATGTCGTTCATACTTTTTCACTGTACAAAGTCTCTGAATCAAAACCCTATAACTAAATGCATTTGAAATGACCCTTTTAATTGGCCTTGGTATGACTACTTACATGGCTTGGTGCTTGACCATGGCTTCCATTGTTCATGGCCAGGTAATATATTCGCTCACTCTTTCTTTGAATGGAAGGCCTTATTTATTTGACTGAGGCATTTTATTGAACAAGTTGAAGATGTGCAACATTCGGCTCCAACAAAGCTAGGGTTGTACTTCATTGGCGCCACCAATATACTATACACTTTTGGTGGTCATGTTGTCACTGTTTTTTATTTTTTTAAATTAATTATTTGTGCAAAATACATAATCCATTCTTCTTCTCTTCCATTTGAATTGTCTAAGAAATCAAGTGTTTTCGATGGTCGCAACAAAGTTCTAGTAGTGGTTCGCTTCTCGAATCGATGGATTCTTTGTATATTAGTGGTGGATGTGAAGAGTCTTGTAATATTACTAGCCACCAAGAATGGCAACAATGGTAGCGGTGCAAATTCAAAGATGAGTAAACATACAATGACAGTAGTTTCATTTTTAGAAGAATGACAAATCCTAATAGTAGAAATATCCGGAGAAAATCTGTGTTAGCATGTTGAGTTTGTGTAGGGATGAATGATGGAGTTAAAGAAAGTTGCCATGGCCCGCTGCCAGTTTTTATGGGAAATCTGGGAATTCGCATTGGGTTTTGTTGTTTTGATAGTTTAGAAAGTATTAAATACGTGATTAATTGATTTAATTAGTTTATAGGGTATTCTTCAAATTAATTAATTTTGAGAGGTAGCGAACCC